AAAAAAAAAAAAAATAAATAATAATAATAACGAAAAACAATACATCACGCACCACAAGAAGCGCCACAAGGGAAGAACGCCACCAGAAAATAAAATAAAAAAAAAAACCAGCAGAAGCCACACACCAAAAAAAAAACAAAAAAAAACGGCACCACCACCCGTTTTTTTTTTTCGCGAGCACGCCCCGCCACACGAAACGCCCCCACAGTTTCGAGTCGGAAAAGCGGCGGGCAATCACACCCTCCGTCCCAGCTGGGGCCCGGGAGGGGGTGGCGGGAGGGGCTTCCCGATATTTTTGGGTGACCCGGGCCGTTTTTTTCCATTTCCCCGCTCCGGTTCGCGAGCGGGGCCTCGGCACACCCTCTTCCCCGCCCGGACCCGGGACCCGCGAGGCGCCGTGGGTTCTCTGGGGGAACTTTTTTCCGGCGTGGCCCGCGGCGGCCCGTCACGCGCGATGGTTGTGCCACGTTCGCTCTCGAACCCGGGCGCCAACCCGAAAGGGGTATGTTGAAGTACTGTGCGTCGGGGGGTACCCCGCTTACTCCCAACATCTGGGGGATAACGTGTCTAATGTGGCGATTGCCTTCGCACCGTTGCTTTCTCTACGAGCGCGTTGGGCGCAACGAGGGGCGAAAGATATGCCACTGACGTCACGCTTGTCGCCTTTTTTTTTTTTTCTCGTTTGCTGGATCTAATGGGGGTAATTTTGACACGCACAACAGAGTTATTGACGTGGATAATTTCTCTTGCATTGGTGCTCTCTGAGAATGAGTGTGCAACAATTAATCCTTTGTATTCTTCTCTTTCTTTTCAGTTATCGTCGTGGTTTTTACTATGTATAACACCAAAAAAAGGAGGAATGATGTTCTCCTTATTTATTGTAGCACAAGCGGATAGAAAGAAAAGAATTGTAGAACTCTTGGAATACATTTTGATAGAGTGGAATGAAACAAATCTCTCTTTTTGGGAGATACAATGCAATGCTATTTCTCTGTGCAGAGGTGTTCTACGCCTTCTATTGATAACTACAACGAAATTGGAAATGAATGTCTCTGTTGTGGTGAAAGGAAAAACATTCCTACTGAAAGAGTATTAATAGGGGGCGTACACAACGCCATATGCATAGGATTACTGCTATTCTACTGAGGGGAAAAACAGCAAAAACAACTACAGGGAGTGAATCACTGAGGAGTGATACTGAATTAAGATCTCTACTGAATAAAACAGAGTTAAAAAGCAGTGTGTTGTACATGTTACTTTCTCTTGGAAATGTGAGTAGTGCTCTTATAGATAGTGTTCTGTGTATGTCTTGTGGGTATGGTAATTAGTACAGGAGTGTTTTTGTAGCTGATGGAATATTTCATATAATCCTCTCCTCTATTATTTTATGGCTCTTCTGATGTGTATTTTTTTTTTTGTTTTTTATTATACTGTGTTGTGCTCCTGACATGGATGGGCAAAAGGAAAAAATAAATTATCATCAAGTGGAGTTGGTGGGTTAATTAAGCATGAGGTACACAGTCTTTTTCTAATACAAAGGACAGATCTAAACACATGGTATCATTCACTCTTTTCATTGGTTCTTTCTATCTTTTTCACTCGTTTAAAGGCAGTACAGCACTCATTATTATGACTATTTGTTATTCTCTGTATTTCTTACAATTGCCATAAAACACCAAATCTGCTCACAATGCATTGTTGTTGATACTGTTGGTGTGTATGTGTACCACAAGAGGGTATATTGATATCTTTTCTCATTCTACTTTTTGGCATAACTATCATTCTTCTCTTTCTGAGAGTATTACTGTCGATGTATACATGTGTTTAATTATCTGCTAAACCCAATACAATATCTATTCATGCTTACCTTTTATTCTCTCCCTTTTCCTCTTTTTTTCTCTTTACTGTTTGTACCTTAGCAAAGCAACACAAAAAAAAACACACACTCACGCTATTAAGAAATGGAGAAACACTCCATGCGTCACCTCCTGTGGGCTGTGCTGTTCCTGTTGTACTGCAGCTGCGGGTGTTTGGCTGCTGTTGTGCAGCAGTTACCACAGAAAGGAGAAAGTGGTCTGCAGGCGTACACCGTCTCTACTGATACTAATGTGAGAACGGAGAACTGGCAGCCCATTCGCATTGGCGTCTATACAAAATATGTGGAGGATGCTGTGAAGTACTGTGAAGAAAACAAAGACCTGGATTTCGAACATGGAGTTGACTTTGATGATGTCTGCGATAAAGGTGGTCAAATGATGACAACGGACAAGAAAGATACTCTTTTGAACAAAGTCTTGCCTAAAGCAATTAAATTGCACACAGATCGCCTTAAAGTAGAACGGGTTGAGGGGAGCCCAAAGAAGCCAAACGTTGATGTAGAAAACATTCCACAGAAGTGCAAATACTTTAAGGAGGACTCGGTTAATCTTCAGGAGAGTCCTGATGTCGATTTTATGATTTTTGTGCATCTCTCAGCCTTCACGGAAAAAGTTGAGATTTGCACTCAGGATGGCCAAAAACGACCAACGTCTGCCGTCATCAGCTTTATCCCAGAGGAGATAGAAGCAACACGGAAGTATATTCGCTTGACTGCACATGAGATTGCGCATGGACTTGGATTTCAACATAAGGTTATGGAAGATCAGAAAATGGTCAAAACACGCGACAGTGGTCTGCTACGTGAGTCAAGACGAAGCGGTGGAAGACAGTTCTATATGGTCATTTCTAAAAAAACTGTCGAAATGATGGAGAAACATTACAAATGTGAGGATAGTGAAAAGAATAAAGTAAATGGTTTGTATTTGGAACAAAAAGGGAACGAAGAAACACGCTTGCACTGGGAGAGACTAATTGCGAAGGATGAGTTGATGAGTCCGTACACTGGTGAACCTACTGGCATGTACTACACTGTACTCACACTTGCAGTATTTGCAGATATGAAATTCTACGAAGTTAATTTCTCCATGGCAGAACCGATGAGTTGGGGGAATCAATCTGGATGTGAGTTTCTTCAAGGTGAAAAGGTTACAACAAAGACTGACTACCCCAACGTGTTTTGCAAGAAAGAAGAGAAGACGGAGACGAAGATCCTGCAGTGTACCTCTGACCGTTTTGCCCTTGGAATGTGCTCAACGAAGAAAAGCCGTGAAGGGTTACCTGATGGATACCGTTATTTCGACGATGAAAACTATCATTTTGAAAGTAATTTGATGGATGGTGTTCCATTCATCAGACCCTTGATGGGTACTGCTTGTGAGGGTGGGAATCCGAGTTTGATGCCTGGCAGCGTTCTGGGACCGGATTCACGCTGCCTAACGGCAGATGGTCTCGTTCTACGTGATTCAAAGAGCACCGCCCTCACCATTGCTGGCGTTTGTGCAAAGGTGAAGTGTGAGGATGACAAGAAGGTGAGTGTACAGCTTAAACAGGACGGCGGTAATAACTGGCATGACTGCAGCCAGGCAGGCAAATCTATAAATCTTGTTAATCTGGACAGTTCAACGTTCAGCAGTGGAAGTATTAAGTGTCCCAAATACGAAGAAGTGTGCACAGGGTTGCCGAAAACTGAATCCACCAAAATTAAGTTTTACAATGGCACAGGAGGTACTGCCATGTATGAGGTTGATGCCAACGATGATGAACAATCAAAAAAAGGAGAAAAAGCAACGGAGGGTCACAACCGTGTCCAGAATTCTGACTCATCTTCAGATGCTGTCAAAAAAGATGGAGGTGGCGTACCCGCCGTGGTATTACCAACGCCGAACACCGTGGGACAGCAAGAAGCAAAGAACCAGGTTGTATCCAAGGCAACTTCCCAGAAGAACCGTGAGAGTGGAAAAGACCAGAGCAACGATCTCCCTTCTGTTGGTCCCGCAGGTAGCGGAATTGATAGCGCGGGCAGTGCTAACAACAACGCTGTTGGTTCTAACCGTGGTAACGCCAGCAGTGGACAGCAGAGAATGGGCAAAATAAAAGAGAGTGAGTCTACTGTTATTGATGCTGAGGTTCAGCCTGGCCTAGGCTCATCTTCTTCTCTCCCTGCTGCTGATGCTCCATCCACATCTAATCCCAACGGCAATGACAACACAGTGCAGTCCACCAACACTATTAATGCTGCAGATGGCCGCTCCTCTGGTACAGGAAACAACGGTGCTTTGAATGGTACAAAGTTAACTGAGGACAAAATGAAAAAAGAAACACCAAATCATACGAATATAATGGGTATGTTGGGTCCTGACAGCAGCATCATGGTCTCCTACATGGCCCCTCTTGCACTTCTTGTGTGTGTTGTTGGTTTTGTGATGGTTCCATGAGAGATCCATTCATATTCAAAATAATAAACACTTTTGCTAAATACGGTCCTTTGAATCAAATCCCATAAACTGCAATACATTGACCGTTCTTTTTTTCTTTCTTTTCTTTTTCTTTTTTTAGCGTTCTTCGCTGCATTGGAAAATTTTCTTTTAATTGTTTATGATTTTTTTTTATTGCTATGATTTTATATTCATTTTCTGAAAATGAATAATTATCAAATATACATTTTGCAGAATCCCACTGTTTGTTGTCATATACATGAGAGTACACACATAATATGGTGAGAGAACGATGACAGTGTCGGATGAAGAATCAACATAAACTTGGACTCCTTATCATTGGGGATTTTTTTTTAATGGCTTTCTTTTTTATTGAATTAAAATGTTCTGAGGAAGAAGGTTTATGTGTTTATATTTTTCTGTGGTTCTTTCTGTGCTGATGATGTTTTTGTTGTATTGTTTATTGTATGTGTTGCTGTTTTTTTTCCTTTTTTTTGTTTTTCTTTATTTTCTCCAAGTCTCTCAAGGATTCAAATGCGATAGACACACTGAGAATGACATTATGGCGCACATATCTCTCTGTTTACATCCTTTAGCTGTTGTGATTGGATTTGACTGCAGTAGGTGCTGTTGCTCTTGTTAATGTGTGTAGCCCTTGATATTGCATTTATCGTGGTTGTGTTGCTGTTGGTGTTTCTGAGAGTATTACTATCAATGTATACATGTTATTCATAACACTGGAGAATGCACTCGCCACACCACACGCCATGGTCCGTCCGCGCCAGATGTGACACTGTCCCGAGAATGTCGCCTAGAGTCATGGACGGCATCCTTCTCACCGGACAGCGACCATTACATCATCCTCTTCGACGTAGCAGTAGGAGATGATGATGACGAACCACTGCGGTTCCCTCGCCCTCGTGCACCCATTTATGCATGGAAGAAGGCGAAATGGTCTCGCTTTCGTCAACTGACGAACACACAGTGCAGTAAACGCCTTAAAGAGAAACAGAGCGTTCACAAGAGAGAACGA